TTGCCCTGCAGCTCTGATGAGGTGACTGGGAGGCATCTCCAGTTGGGACGGTTCCTGATTGGGCCATGTGATGGACATGTTGGTGCTGGGCAGGGGTTTGGATTTTCATTTGGGTGGGGAAAACCTGGAATCTTTCAGATTCGGGTTTTCCTAGATGTGCCAATATGACATCTCTAATAAAATGGAACTTTGAGGAACTTCAAGCCTTGGAGTGTTCTTTCGTTAAGGGTGTAACTTGGAATCCTGACATTGAGCTCCTTTCTAGCCAAGAGGAAGGGAATTCAATTGCCCCAGGACTTACACAACTGACGTAGGAATTTGAAACAATCAAAGGATCATTTCAAGTCAGAAACATGAATATGTTTTTTTAAAAAAGTCATTTCAGTGTTTTGATTTCCTCCAAATCCTCCTTTTGACTTGACCACTGATTTCAGTAGATGAAAAATAATAAGAACAGCACATTGACACACAACGGGAGAGATTAGGTCTAAGTGTTAGGGATGGGGTTATATTCAATGAGCATCTTGTCCCTGACAAACCTTTGGGAGTTTGTTTGCAGTTCCGAAAAAGAAACCCTCTACAGAAACATCTTATTGCTGTTCTCTCTCCTTCCTTTATAGACAATCCCAAAATCTGTTGGCCACAAACAAATCCACCTATGAAAAATCCACCCACAATTTCCAATACCGGTTCAGGCAAACCGGTCTGAACCGGCTAAATACCACCTCTGATGTTATCCAATCCCCACAGGGCATCTGCCGCCAAACTCTCTGATTGTCAGATAATTGAAGGGGAGAAAAATACGAGGAAGGAAAAACAACATCAGTTTCAGCTGGCTCCAGGATGGGTGGAGAGAACTTCAGGAAGGGTGAATCTCCCCTCGACTTTGCTTCTCGATCGTTTTGGCCGTTGCAATGCAATATTTTAGCATTACTCATTGCTTAAGACTCTTAAAAAAAACAACAGCATGGTTTTATAAATATATACATAAATAAAAACCATTGGGTCACTAGCACCAGCTTTGTTGAACTTGCAAGCTAAAACTCATCTAAAAGGAGTGGTGGTGTAGGAGATGACCAGGATGAGCCCGAGAGGGGATTTCTTTGAGGGTCGGATCAGCATTGAAATTCTCCTTCACGGACAGGTAGTGGGGGGACGGAGCAGGGTGGAGACGGGACGGATGTCTCCAGCAACATTTTACCAGCCAAAATGGGATGAGGGAGGTGCACTCAGCCTCTCAAGCCTTGTTTTTGCCCTCCCCAGCCTCCAGCAACACTCTGCCGGCCAAAAACAATCTGTGTGGAAGCTGCCTGTTTTTGGCTGGCAGAGTGCTGCAGGAGGCCAGGGAGGCTGAAAACATGCCGCGGCAGGCCCGCATGAGGCCTGCTTTGGCTGGCAGAGGCACCACAGGCTGGTCCTTTGATATTTCCAGGCCAGCCCCATGGGCCGGATTTAAGCCACATCCGGTCCGCAAGCCTTGAGTTTGACACCCCTGCCCAAAGAGATCTACCGTATTTTTTGGAGTATAAGAGGCACCTTTTTCCCTCAAAAAAGAGGCTGAAAATCTGGGTGCATCTTATACACTGAATACAACATTTTTGCCTCCCAAAGCCCCGCCCCTTCACCAAAATGGCCATGCATAGCCTTTTGGAGGCTTTGCAGAATGCTCATGGGGACTGGGGAGGGCAGAAATGAGCAAAGAACGGGCTGTTATTTGCTCAATTTTGCCCCCACAGCCCCCAGGAGCACTCTATAAACCTCCTAAAGGCTATACATGCCCTTTTTTAAAATAGAAAATGGGCCCGTTTTCACGAAAAACGGGCCTTTTTGGGAGGTTTGCAGAGGGCAAAAACTTTTTTTTAAATTTGCCTCTTCAAAACGTTGGTGCATCTTATACTCCAGTGCGTCTTATACTCCAAAAAATACGGTAAGTCCAGCCCACCTTGAATTCCTTTCTTAAGACCCACACATTCCCTTAATGGTGAATCGGCCAGATTTTTCTCTACAGCTTAAGCTTGCAATAAATCTTCATACTCATTTGAACTTCCTGAATCTCCTGATCTCGCCAGTGCTTGACAGGTGGCCTCAAATAGAAGTATGCATTTTTTTTTCATTTAAAATGATATCTATCCAGCAACAGCATCCAAATGACTTATGCAGCTGGAGTGGGACAAGGGCTGTTCCAACCATGGAGCAAAGTGAGACAGGAGACTTACATTATCATCATGAAAATATAGCAAATTATATACTGTTTCTGTTATTAATATTATTGCCGAGGAAAGGTGTTTTATGAGATTTTCCACCTCTGGTTACATGACAAATTGATTAGCTTGTATATTATATACAGTGTGTGTGTGTGTGTATGTTTGTGTGTGTGTGTGTTTTCGTAGATTTTCACGGGTACAGGTATGCAGGTTTTGGTGTATTCGGGTCTTTTCCCTTTTACGAAACAGCTGACTAATCTTCAAACATCAACTCCATCAATTAATCAAGATGTAACAACACAGCCAACCAATCTGCCTGCAGCAATAGAGCCAGCATTCCACACACACACACCAGTATTTATAGAGGGATGGCAGCTCCGATCACGCTTTGCTTGCACAGGCACGAGGCTGAAGACACCAGCCTGAGGATGACGAGTGGGACCACGTCGAAACGTCACCAAGATATTCTCAGTCTTACACGGGAAAAGACCCGAATACAACAAGACCAGCATATACACATACACATATGCATATACATATATATATCGTCCAGGAAAGAGTGGACACCACTGATGAGCAAAATGCTTTGGGTCAATCTTAGATCTCTAAGCGTGCCTCTCCATTCTCTTTTTGTACATGACAAATGAAGTCTTCTGCTCCTTATATCTCCACAGCTAGATTGGATACAATAATAAACCCTCCCAGTTCAAGAGTTGATGGCATCAGGAGAGCTTGTCTCAAGGTCTCCAAACGATCATAGGAACTTCCAGGATAAAAATCCATTGTCAGAAGACCTTCAACTGAAACAAAGCTATGATAGAAAATCTCCTAAAAGCCTGAAAGCATTCCCCTAGTAGTAGCACAAGAGGATATAGGAATAGGTGGGATGGATATGATCTTCCTTCAAAGGAAGAGGACGGACAGGCGGCACCTTGGGAGGTGTTTGTACATTTGAATCTTTCCTACATGGATCCAGCAGATGACAAGATAAGACGAAGGAAGGAAGACAAACAGGAGGGAAATTAGGGGGGACATCGGTGGAGGGTGGAGGTGTCGAAGAGAGGGTTGTGGATCTCCATTTCTCCACTCTGGAAAGAGAAGAAGACACTAAATTAGTCAAAGAGTTCTTTTAAAGGGGGAAAATGCATCTAAAATTTGTCTACTACATTGCCGTCTCCATCAGTGGATAGGCAAACGACATGCTTGGCAAACTACAGCTTTGAATGTGTCCCTTTGAAAACAGTGAGATCAGCCCAACCTACTTCACAGGGTTCTTGTTGTGGGAGAAAAGAGGAGGAGGAGGAAGGAGCATTGGGTATATCCACCGCAGTAGTGGATTCCTACTGGTTGGGCCCAGCTGAACCGGTAGTGGCATGCTGGCCTGGGTTGCAGAACCGGCAGCGACCCAGGCTGGTCACACCTACAAACCGGTTCCCCAGTCACCACAGTCGCCGCCATCTTGTTTTTGAATTTGTGCATGTGCAGAACAATTTACTATTGAATCGTGCATGCGGGTGGAGCGTACATTCAGCACATGCGTGCGCGCAAAGTGTGTCCATGAGTGAATCGGCAGAAATGCTGGCTAGAACCAACCCCTGGTGCACTGCCTTGATCCTTAAACCTCATGTGCAGAGCAAGGCTGCTGATAGTGATTGGATTGGTTGGGCACGTGCTTTCCACCCAGAAGCTCATGATTAGCCCTCGAAACAATGTCAGTTTTTTGCTTTGCAGTTACTAGGAAACAAACCAAAGTTTGTTCGTATGAACAAAGTATGAGCAAAGGAAAGGAACTACAGCCTTGTGTGGAGGAAGTGGTGTCCGTGATCACTCAAAGATCACTGAAAACATCTCAACCAAAGTTCATCAAAACCTGGAGGTGAGACTTGAAGCCATAGGTTTGTCTGCATGTGCAAATTCAAATTATTTCTGGATTGCTTTAATCTCTTTACTTATTCTCCAGTTTTAAACACCCCTCAGAGGGATACATCTGGTTAGTTACTCGATGGAACTATTAAGATGGAGATGACCAGATGTAGAAGTTTAGAAACAGAAAACAACCAGAAGAAAAACCAGGGACAAACTACTTCATTACTATTGCCCACTAGGAGTTGAGTTCAACTCAAAGGATCTTCTTCTTCTTCTTCTTCTTCTTCTTCTTCTTCTTCTTCTTCTTCTTCTTCTTCTTCTTCTTCTTCTTCTTCTTC